TATACATTTAAATATGCATGAAAATCTTTTTTGCATGATAAGCATAAGTATCAAGCGATTTTTTTTTTTTTTTTTTCTTTTAAATCTCATTTAATTTAAATCATACGAAAGTCATCTGTCTGATCTTCTGAGTGAGTCAAGAGCATAAAATCCTCGACTTTGCATTTCAATGCCCGATTATTGAGAAATTCTCAGGATACACACAAACACGGACAGACGGGCACACGGACACAGTATACATGCTCAGTAACCTATCCCAATCAGAAGGCCTGCAGCCAACAGACAGCCTGTCGTCGCTGCGTTCCGGGCTCGTCAACGTCTTGAGAAATTTTCCACAGCGCGCAGACAGCGCGGCTGCAGCAGCCCACGCACATGACAGGACACCGCTGACACAGCCCACCCTCGCACAATGACAGACACACGCACGCACGCACACAGTCAGAGAGAAAGAGAACTCCAATAACAGTTCCAACTAATTTGCGTAATATTTAACAGACAGCGAGCGGGCAGCGCTAAAACATTTGAAGAAGGCGCGTCCGCTGTGCCCCAGATGTGAAGTAGATATGCGCACAGTGGCCACTCGAAGTTGTTACTCGAATTACAAATTAAATCAACAAAAGTGAAAACCAAAGGCGTGCGCACGCTGCCCGCACAGCAAGGACATGTCAAACAGCAGCTATATAAATGAGCGTTGTGTCTGTGGCCTGTCCGGCAGAGGCAAAGGCGGAGGCAAAGGCAAAGGATAAGGCACAGGCGAAAGCGGAGGAGGGCACCGGCTGATGGCCGTCAGCAGGCACCCCCTGGGGTGTTGTTACTAAATTAGTGGGAAAAACACACACGCCGCACACACACCACCAAACACACACACACACACACACGCACATACATCAAGGATCGTATGTGAAAGTAAGTGGTGTAATGATATAAAAACGCGACCATCACATAAATGCCGCACAGTTTTCCATGGAAAAAAGGTTAATGCGACAATGAGGAAGCTGCCAGCGTTGCAAGCATTTTCCCACACACACGCACACACACACCCGCAGTGCATGGTCAGCACCGGACACGCAAGCAGCGGGGCGACTTCTGCAGCTGAGTTCACACCGCAGCGACAGGCGTCGCTGGTCGCACTTTCCGCCGGGCAAATGACGCGCGTAAGTGTGTTTGTGTGTGTATATATGTGAAAGTGTGGGTGGCAGCGTGTGTGTGTGTGTGCGATCAATTTCAATGTAAACACTTGAAATAACAATTGTAATTTTCCCAACTACTGCAAAGTGTGAAACAACAAAAGCGACGACTTCAGCGACCGATGACAGTTGATGACGTTATTGCATCGTCAATGGGGCACCGTACACATGTTACTTGACACAGACACACACACACACACACACACACACACACACACACACACACACACACTCACACACTCACGCACACGCGCTCCAATATATATTTAAATAAACACAGTCCGCATGAAATGTGGGTCGGGCTGGGTGATGCCAAGGTTTTTCCTCGACGCCCCCGTCAAAGCCGCTATTGTGCGTGCACACAGAAGAAAATTTCCAATGAAAAGCGCCAGTGACAATTGGCAACAAGGAAAACAACAACAATCGCTACAACAACAACAATAACAACAGCAATAAGAATTGCGCAAATATGCGCATAAAATGAAAATTCATTGATTGTCTTATTGAATTTGCGTTTTCCCGTAACGAACCAAAAGTTTCCTTCGCCCTGCCTTTGACATGAGGAAAAACAATTTAAATAAAGTTTACAATCATTTTCTTTATTCGATCCGATGTAAGCAGATGAAAGAGAAAAGGTGTCTGCCCCATCCAAATGAGAGTAACAGAGACAATTATAGAGCGGCAGACCGAAGGAGCCCTAATAACAGTTTCAATCAAATTTGATTGGCTAATAGACTTCAAGTACTTTGCATTTTAATTGCTTTCAATGGGCGGAAAATACATTTATGTCGGCTAAATTTCGAGTTAGCAGCACATTCGGCAAAGCCATTGATATTATTTACACAAAGTAAGCCGTATAGTTTCGCACTTCAATCACATTTGATTGACAAAGGGCATAATTGTGTTCACTCCGGAATGATTAGAATTATTCCAGATATGGAATCAAATAAAATACAAATTGTGGATACACAATTTTTAAATCTGGATCCATTCTTATGTAAATAAAGAGCTTCAATTAATGTGTATGGAATTGACTAAATTAGCTTTAATGAATATAGTGTATTTTTTATTCATTATATGTTAATATAAACAAACAAAAACATGTACTATTTTCATCAAGTATTATTAATTATTAATAATATTCTTGTTAATTTATTTGTATTTTATTGTCTATAAAGCACTTTGTTGGCCGAAAATTTGAATTGTTTTCTAAATGATTGTTCTAAAAATAAACAATTTGAAGCACAAAAAGTTTCTAACTCGGTTGCAAAATGCACAAGCAATGCAATAATTTACAAATAAATGTATGAATGGAGAGTAAAGAAGAGTTGCAATTTAGTTTTGTATATTATACAAGAAGTTAAATGTAACCAATTTTCATTAGCCCGAAAAATTCCTTTAAAAAAAACTTCAATCAAATAGGAAATACTATTAGCTTAATAGCTTCTTTTATATTTTAGAGCACAACAAGTTTAATTAAAAGGATGCTCTTAGCTTTTAGGCGAAACGCTTTCTCAATTCATTATAAATACATCTCCGTCCTCCGATAAATACGAAATTTCCAACAATTTGGCACGTTTTAATAAGGCCAATGACACGCCTACTCACGCAAGAGTCTGCGTGTTTGTGTGCTTGTGTGTGTCTGTGTGTGTGGCATTCCATTTAACTCATGGCCATAAAAATTATGTCATTAAACTTGAAAGTGATAATTAAAAATTAAAATTGATTACAATGCTCAGGCAGTGGGTGGAACAAGGTAACCAGTTCAAAAAACCAGTTCCCATTGTTTTCGGCTGACATTCTGTATTCATGGCGACCATCAAAACTTGTTGTAAAGTAATTTAGGAGAGGCGGCAACGCCAGCCAAGTGATTAACCGTAAGCGGATAGCTCAAATTTGCCAGACCGAAGCAAAGTTCCACTATGAGCTGAACTGGGCGGCAATGGAAATTCGTGAAAATTGTTCGCAGACAATGCGACTAATTTGCTAAATGCAATGGCCAAAAAGTTGGACGTTTCCCCTGGCCTTACAAATATAGCCGAAATAGTTGTTGCCAATTAAAAGCGAATACTCGCAAAATATATATATAAAAATATATATTCGCGACTCGATCCACAAAAACTTTGTCCGTGCACGCCGTCCAGTTGTTGACAAATGATTTAGTAACAATCTATTAAATGATAGCTGATGCCTGATTGATGAGACGGCTGCCAAGGCTGTTGGCGCTGTTGGGGCTGCCGGGGCTGACCATGCCAAACAGGCCAACCAGGCCGGCCAGGCTGATCGGGCTAAAAGGATTAAATTCCAAGCGACGCCAACGCAGTGCAGTTCTAGCTAAGCCCGCACCACAGCGCACTACCGAGTCTTTGAACTATGAATTATGCAAGCGCCAGACCATTGCTCTCGCTGGGTCCGAGTATATATATGCATATATATACTTATATATATGTATGTAAATACCAATTCGAATAGAACGAGGGGAAAAAATACAACGATATAAATGGTGGAACAAAAATAGACAGTGCGCCAATGGAGCGATTAGCGACTGCCCTTGGGGGTTAATGGGGTGGGCTCGACCCAAAATAAAAATAAGTCATAAAAACTAATAACTGAATCAAGTGAATTGTAACCGAAATACGTAAACACGTCAGGGGTTAAGCGCGCCCACCCCAACAACAATTGGCCAGACTGACAGGCGATGTATAAAATTAGCTATATAAAACTCTAGAGGGGTTGTATCGCTGGCAGAGATAAGGTTTAATTAGGGAATGTGCTTGAAAATACAAAAGGTTATTAAGTCGGGCAAGGATTCGAAGCTAAAATGGGAATATTTTATTTATGTATTCGGCTTTTCCTAATTAGACCATTTACAGTATATAACTGGTAAACAAAACATTAGAACTAATATAATGTGTGATATGACAGGTTCGTTTCTACGGACTCGCTCCTACGAGCGACAAAGAGAACGGCCCTATTAATAAAGGAATTCTTATAGGGTTGGGCATTTTGGTGGACTACAGAGCCAGATTATTGTCTGGGAAGAAATTACTGCATTTCAGTTAATTTTCGAATTATAATGACTGTACTTTCTCTTTCATTTATGTTGAGGATGGGAAATCTTTTTGCATGTATTTAGTTTTTTCTTTGCATGACCTTGATCTTTTGTCTTTTTATAATTAAAGTTAATATTGGTAATATAATAGGCAAGAATGAAAAGTTTAAGGCAAGAAATGTTTATCAGATATGGATCATACTACTTTTGAGAGTAATCTTCTTCAAATCCAGTTTAGACACTTGCTGCGATTTCATGTCTCAAGGAGGAAATTATTCTATTTTATGAAGCTTGTTTAAGAGGTTTTATACCTCATTGTTATGAGAATCTTTTTTAGATGGGATTTAGCATGTGAATAGGACTGACTGTCAGGGAATTAGTATATGCATTAAAAAATTAACCAAATTACAAAGCACGTCGATTCCAAATTTAGAAAATAGTTTATTTTCTTATTAGTAATATACTTTTTGCTGATAAAATTTAAAAAATCTTCGCTATTTTTGGACTTTCGGCGGAATTTGCAGTTTCAGTAATATTTATATAATTTTATACAATCTGTGCAAAATTGTGTGAAAAGTAGACCGGAAGATGGAGGCTTATAAAGAAATCGGTATCCGGCGGAGTTTTAAAGTTAACCGAATGATGTTTCCCTTTTCTAAACATTTAATCGATGCATCGAGCACACCGACTTACCAAATATATTTATGTATTATATGCATATTACTTGATTAAACATTTGACTATAGTATTTGGACACTCACCGATTTGTGGCACATCGTATTGCCGCTGGCCACGCGCTGTGCGCAGCATCAATTGGCTGGCAATGCTGTGGGAAACTGGTGGCGACGCATAGCCACCTAGTGCTCCAGCGGCGGCGCTGCCTGATCGCTTGTGATTGGGATGCATCAACGACTGATCCGATTCCTTCTTGTTCTGCTCCTGCTGCGACGACTGCTGTTGCGATGACAATGACGACGACGAGGACGAGGACGAGGTCGACTGCTGTTGCTGCTGTGCATCACCAGCAGCTAATGCTAATGCTGGTGACTCGTGCGGTTGTTTGTTTTGCTGCTGACTCGTTGCGTCGCCATTCTCGTTTTGGGTTGACTTTTCCAGATTGGTGGCGCTGGCACTGGCGCTGCCGGAACGTGTGGCTGCCTTTAGATGCTTGCTGGCCGTGGCCTCCGAGTTGGCTAGCGCCAGTTTGCCGCGTTGCTGCTTGAAGTGTTGGCCAAAGATGTTGCGCTGGAGCATCGGTTGCGGCTGCCTGGGCGCCTGTGCCCGTTTCCTGGTCCACTTCTGCTGCATGCGTATATTGTAGTTGCCGGGAGTGTGTGCTTTCGGATTGGACTTGCCCGGCGTATCGCGCTGCTCCTGCTCGAGCAGCTGCTGCAGGGCATCGGGTGCGCTCAGCTCGAGCTGCTCTGCTGTGCGATAGGGATTCTCGGGAAGCGGCTCCTCCTCTAAGCCATGATACTGATAGGCGTCTAGCTCGCGCAGCAACTCATCCTCGCCCAAATGAGGCTCGTCGGCGTTCGGCTCCAGCTCTGAGAAGTCATCAAAGTCGCCAAAGCCATGCAGCGGCTCGTAAAGGGTTTCGCCCTCCAGTTCACGCTCCGGTGGCTGCATCACGCGTCCATAGTCGTACTTAACGGGACGCCGCCCAAACTCACGTAGCTGCTCGTAGTCCTCGTCGGCGGCCAGCGGTGGCGGCGGCTGCTTTTGCACGCTGCCAAACATAAAGCCGCGAGCTGCCTGCTGCAACAGAGCCGGATAGTCGCCCACGTCCAGGCCCTCACTGGGCTGCATTTGAACGCGGCCCGCGATGATGGGACGGCCGTGGTGGCCAGCGGGCGCATCGGGACTCTCGGCCGTCTGCTTGGCCAGGCCGAGGAGCATCAAGCGCTCGCGCTCCAGCTGCGCCATGTCCGCGATCTCCCTGTTCAAACGGCCCGTAGTCGCATCGAAAGCAGCCGCAGCCGCCGAACGATGTCCGTCCGAGCGATGTCCATGGCCATTGCTGCCCAGCCCGCCGCCAGGTGGCGCTCCGCCGCCCGCATGCTGATGCAGCTGCTGCTGCTGCTGCGGCTGCCAAGCACCAGAGGCGCTCACCTGGCCGGCGCTCAACGCTGAGCCCAGGCCCGAGCCTGGCCCCGAGCTGGAGCCAGTGCCCGCCTGCTTCTCGCTGTTGCCGCTCAAATGCAGCGCATAGAGGCCGCCATTGATGAGCAGCACGCAGACCAGAGTCTGGGCGAGCGAGAAGAACATTTTCGTTTTGTTGCTTTGGCGCACTTTATCAATTAAACGGCTTATGTTGGCGATGTATGTGTGCGTGTGTGTGGGTGTCAAAGAGAGCCAAAGATTGGGTAAGGGGGGAGAGAGCGTGCGAGTGAGTGTTTTTTGTTTTTGTCACTTGCAGTGTTTGCTTTGGTTGTTTGTGTGTTGCGTGCTTAGCGCTTGTAAGTCTTCATGCTCGCTGCTCAACACTGTGCGCTATAGCGCTTTGCACTGCACAACACTGGTCGCAAAGGTTTTTTCCTTTTCTTTCAGTTAGCGCGCCCGTTACTTATACGCCGCCGCTAGCTGTGAAGTTGCCTTTAGACAAAATCAATAATCAATTGTCTACTTGTCCAACTGAAGTGTCTGGCCTGTTGTTTGTTGAACTTTGTTGGCCTTTGTCGAGGGAGTTGCTGACAGACGAAACACACACAGGCTTAGGCACACTAGTTGCTGCCTATATATGCACACACATGTACGTATATATGTAAGTATATATTCAGATATATATGAAATCTCTGCCGTCGGCACTATATCGTACTTTACCGTTACTCTTGTCACGCGTCGCGTTTCTCTTCAGTTGCTGGCACGGAAGTCGCTTGCGGCTGCCTAAAAATCTTGCCCTGACCGCTTGCTGTGTTTATAGCTTCCCGTTAGTTGGTCCTTTAATATCTCTCACACTTGCCAAATTGGATGTTTCATATGCTCTACTATATGGGAGGCAGAAATTTGAACGCACGGCACTTGGGTTATCGTTATCGTTTTGTTTCTAAGACTGTGCCTGTTTTTGTTCACTGTGTGTTTTAATAAAAATGCAAAGAAAAATTTGTATGGTGTATAATATTTGTATACTTTTGTTTTTATGGTTATAACAATATTTTTGTTGTTATTGTTGTATATATATTTTAAATTTTATTTTATTTGTTATTTTTTTTTTTTTTTTTTTTGTTGAAGGAACTTGTTAGCACTTTTTTGCTTAGCGCTCAGCTGCGGCACTTTTGTTTTAGTTTCATAGACTTAAATTTTGTTGTATTTGTTTCACAAATCTTACACGACTCTTGCTTTGTTGTAGTTTATTATTTTGGTTTGTTGAAAATTTGTCGAAAATTTTTAAGAAATATTTGTTAATATATTTTTTGTTGTAGGGGGAAATGGTTTGCACTTTAAAAACATGTATTTTTTTCACGAATTTCACTTGATTGCTTGTTTGTTGTTGTTGTTATTCTTCTTTATGTTTTTCTTGTATTTGTGTGTGGAGTCTTTTATTTGATGTGAAAACTTTTTCTACTGTGTCTCTTCAATGTTCCGCACATATGAACCGACGAGCAAGGACTCGTCGTATCGTCTCAGCAGGTTTTGCCTGTTTGTCTGCCTTTTGCTTGGCCGCTTGATGCGGTCGCTGCCGCTGCCGCTGCCTCAGTCGCAGTCGCTGCTGCTGCTGCTGCTGCTGCTGCTCCTGTTGTTGCCGTCACGGACTACGACGTCGGCGCTGCTCTCCTCAAGGAGTTTCGTATTTCCACTTTATAGATGTTCATACAAGCCGCCGCCTGTGCCTATGTGTGTGTGCGAGTGCGTGTGTGTGAGTCGTTTCTGGTCGTAGTCGTCGTGCGAGGTTCGTTGTGCATTCGTTTCGGGCAATGCTGCTCGTTGTTGCTGTTGTCGCCCGTGCCTCGAATTTCACTTGTCCTGGCCGCTGGCTGCTGCGTCTGCTACTGCTTCTGGCTGTTGCTGCTGCTTTTTCTTTCTGTGCGTGTACTCAGTCAACGGGCAACGAGCACGAAACGACATATACGTTTGTTCGCTCAATACTGAGCAGGCCGCACGCTCAACCACTTGTTTTCAAGCCAAAGCCATTGCTGAAGCTGTAGCCGAATCCGGAGCCGAAACCGCAACCGAAAGCTATGCCAGAGCCGAAGTCTCAGCAGGCCAGCAGCCAGTGCGCTGCGTCATGTGTAGAGTTTTTGCCAAACTGCGAGCGAAAACGACAGCAAAAGACAAACAGCAAAAGCGATGAAAAGAGAGAGAGAGTGAGAGTGAGAAGGAGAGAGAGAGAGAGATAGAGTGCACGACAACGGTTAGCTTTACGCTCGAACTGCGCTTATTGTGCCGGCATCGCCCATATGATGTCCATTTTACCCTCGTAGGGGCAGCAACTTGTTCGAATTTTCGCACTTGGCTAGCCCGTAATGTTAATAGGATTTTCCTATTAGCAGCAGCGATTTGACCGCTTCCTCTTCTTCTTCTTCTTATTCTTCCATTGTCAGCTGTCCCTTGAAAAGATTGTGGCTTAGTTTGATAATTGATTTAATTTGGTTTCGTAAATTCGGTTAAACCCACAGTTTAGATTATTATCTAGAAAATTTTGCTGAGTAGGCACATGTTAAGGGAAAGTCCTGTTAGTTAAATACAAAAAGTAGGTAACATAAAAAATATTTCATGACTGTATAAAGGAATTTTACAATACAGAGCAAGTATGGAAATGGAAAACCACAAAAGAATGAATAATAATTGAGCGCAAAATATGTTTTTTGTTTTATCTATATAGAATGTTGTTAGAATAAATATGAAATTAAGAGTTAAGATGATTTTATGATTTGAGCTAGCTGAGATTTTGATATTTTAAAACTCAGTAAATCTCGTGATATACAAATTTTTCTATAGATAATATTTCAAAGAATCTTAAATAAATGTAGTATGATAAAATATATTGGGGTAATCCAATAATAATATGAATTTTATAATACAGTATTCCCTTACTTGCATCTTGATTGTCAATATTACATTTTAAGTTAAATAAAGAGTTTATAAAAAAATAATTTAAGAAAGCAAAAGAAACCAAAGCACATTACATATTTCTAGAAAACATTCTTCCACAAATCTAATTTAATCTAACAACTATAGAATGCATCTAACACTTGCGCATCAAAGAGACTTTTCTCAGTCTACTTATACAAGCACTCACTCACATACTTTCCCCTAGCTGAGCCCCTCTTTCGAACTACGGAGTTCGAAAATTGATGACGCCCACACATTTGCCACAGTTGTAAAAAGCAAAACAAGACGACGGCAATAATAACAACAGCAACAACAACAACAAGTGCAAATAAATAAAACGGAAAAGTATTTTCCCACACATGGGCACTGGGAACATGAATTGCAGGCACCTACAATAGAGAACCGAATGGAACCGTGGCCGAGTGAGGCATACATGAATGAAGGAGAACTACGACTATATTCATAGTTATACTCGTACTTATACTATGCAAGGATCATCGTCATCGACAGCCTCTGCCTCTGCCTCTGCCGCTGCCGCTGCTGCTGCTGGTTCTGATTCTGCTTTTTGCCTGCAACTTGTTTATGTGTGTGAGCGTGCGTGTGTGTGTGTGTGCCTCATCTAAAATTCATCATTTGGGATGGGCATTGGGACATTTTGGGGCAGGTGCCGGCCATGGCTAGTTCTGCTCGGTTTGCCGTTGTCGTCACAATGTCTGTGGCTTTTACGTTTTACGAGCCAGCAGAACCAAAAATTATAATATAGTTTTAATGCTAGATGAAGTTGTGCTAACATCGCACTATCAGAATGAGAACCTAGTTATAGTGGTTTGGCTTGTCAGTTTTGCAACTTTCGCATAGCAATAGTATTTTTTGTAGACATTTTTTTATCGAAAACTCATAAAATTAAAATAAATTAAACGAGCTAATAGAAGGGATGTATCTAAGCGAGCCTTCAACTAACAAATATTTAAAATAGAATCGAATTTATTACAACGGGAAAAGATTTAAGCCTTTTGTTAATATATATCGACAATTATTAAATGCTTTGAACATATGACATAACAAGCTGTATGTTAGTTTTCCTATAAGAATGTTAAAGCAAAAAATCAAACACAAAATCCATTTAAAAATGTATTTTGTACAAATAAATTAAAAATGAGTTAATTGGTGCAAAAATGTATGTTAAAAATGATAGAGCTACTAGCTTGTAGACCACTTTGAATATCTATTAAATAAGTACTAAAAGAAACTTACATGTTTAACTCTTGGTTAAATTAACCACAATTAACCAAAAATAGCCAGTATTTATTCTTAGTCATTCTAGCCCTATATTAGCTATCCCTTTCCATCAGCTATAGAGAGAGCCTACCAAAAAGCCGGCTTCAATACACAATTTGTTGCACAAAAGTCTACACTGCGATAAAGTCTACAAGCATGTCAAACAGCTGAGCGAGCTGAGCAAAGCTGTTGTCTCCCATTCCCAGTGTCTGCCCGCTAAGCGACTTGTGTCCTGTGCCCAGTGGAAGCTTATAAACTGTCCTACCACAAGCGAAATGCATTGGCTGGGCCAAGGCAGGCGGTCGGAGTGGCAACAGGGCGACAACAACAGATGATTCAGCCAGGCGCCGGCGCAGTGGCAACAGCGGCGACTACGTCAACAACAAAAAAATAATCGAAGCTACGAGTTTCATTGAGCAAACAGCGCTCCACGGTTGGGGAAAGCGTCAAGTGTACGGCATGGAGACATTATCGCCGTACTGGCGACGACGACGGCGGCCCTTTTGCTCTTTCAATGAGCGGCGACAACGACAACGACGGCGACCGCGACGGCGACGACGGCGACGACTCGCGACTGGACTAAACTGGATGGGGCAGTGGGTGTGCCGCAGCCGCACGATGATGACGCCTACGCATATTTGTGACGTAAGCACGAGCACGATGTACGGCCACGAAGTTGTGTGTGAGTGTGTGCGCGCGTGTGATTGTGTGTGTATTGGTGTCGCTTCATGTTTCTATTGTCTTTGGCTTTGACACCTTAGCTGGCCACTCATTTCAAATTTTGGGCTCGTCGCGTGCACAGCGCAAAAGTTAGCGAGTTTCCAATGAAATGACCGTACGAGCTAGTTAGCTTTCCTTTCAGTAATCTTTTTTCGTTACCAAATTGTCCAGTTATGCAATTAATTTAAAATATATTTGAATGAAAATTTAAGCAATTT